AGAGAGAGAGAGAGAGAGATTACAAATTCAAGATATTTTAAAAAATGCATTTATTAAAAACTGAAAAAAATAAATAAAACTTAAAGAGATAAGAACTTCTTTTTTTTAATTGTACAACGAACTATCACGACAGTCACATTGACTACTAAGCAAACTAAATTTCCCACAGCACTGATTGGACAAGCAATATCATGAGATCATCTGCAGCCAGTAATGGCCTAGCGGGCGTGTCATAACTAATTGACATGTTGAGTCGCGTGTATGTTACCCTCCGTGGCAGAGGCTCCGTCGAACCCCTGAAACCACTTCACCGAACCCCGGGAGTTCGATCGAACCCAGGTTAAGAACCACTGTGCTAGCTAACTAGATAGATAGATAGATAGATAGATAGATAGATAGATAGATAGATAGATAGATAGATAGATAGAAATAAGGTAGTACACTGAGCGACTGGTTAGCATGTCCGCCAGACAGTGTAAAGGTCCTGGGTTAGTTAGATCCCAGCTCCGGCCTTCCTGTGTGGATTTTGCATTTTCTCTCCGTGCCTGTGTGGGTTTTCTGCAGGTACTCTGGTTTCCTCCCACATTCGCAAAACATGCATGGCGGGTTAATGGATCACTCTAAATTGTCCCTAGGTGTAATTGTGAGTGTGGATGGTTGTTGATCACTGGGTGTGCCCTGTGATTAGCTGGCAACCAGTTCAGGGTGCACCCTGCCTTCTGCCCGAAGAAGGCTGGGATAGACTCCAGCAGGCCCTCGTGTGAGGATCAGCGGCTCGGATGTTGGATGGATATATATGTGTGGTGTGTCGTACCCCTGCCACCTGACTTAAAGCAAATCGGAACCGCTCGCCGGCCGATTGCTTAGCATACGTAGACAACCATTCACAGTCACACTTATAGAGGAGTTCACATTTTCAGTGATCCTAAAATGCATGTTTTTAGAACGTGAAAGAAAGCCAGAAAACCATGAAAAAAAACACAATATGTGATAATACATCCACAAACAGTCAGTCAGTGGGTTTACAATGAGGTGCTCAAGAGAGTTGGGTTGAAATTGCTATGCTCCGCCTCCAAGCAGTTAGGCGTTAGGCACCTTACTCACTGTCCAGCAACCAGCCCCACCCTCCATCATCCTTTATCCAAGCCTACTTTTTTGTTGCTTTTCATACCTGAGTCCTTCCAGTCCCAACGCCAAGTCGTAACAGACTATTCCATGCAACCACATCCTGCTCCGAGACAATCATATCGGCAGATGGATGTGGTCTGAAGTGACATGCACTTTGATTTAATGCACACACAGACTTTCAGCAAGGATGCTTCAATAATGCAACTCTCAGTTAAATTATGAAGGCACCCCATAACGTTTAGTAATTGCAAAACTTGGTTGTACTCACTGCATTCCACTCTCCTACATCGTATTGTTCATGACTGTTTTTGGTATTTTCACTCCTCTTTTGGATCTTGGTGTGTTTGCCTTTTGCATGGCCAATAAAGATGACAGTGTGTTTTGAAGTTCAAAATGCTTGTTTTCTCTTTTTGGCAATGTTAATGTTTGCAGTCCATGTACCATGACCGCCAGGGAGTAGCAGTGGTTCCGCCCACTGTGCCAGGGGCCTTTCTGGGATTACCAGAGAAGGGCATGCTTAGGAAGCAAAAGTCCATAGGTATGACAACTCTGAAGTGTGTGTGTACTATGTAAGGCTGCTGACTGGCAACCTCTTGTGCACTTTAATGCACGGAGGACTTGCTTGTTGTACTCCAGTGGTATTAAAGCTAATTATGGATAAATTACTGTGATAACATTAGCAAAGTGAAGGCTCCATTGATAATACTGGAGGTTCTTAAAATGAACAATCATGACCAGCGTTTCGCCACTGTATGTAGAGATGCAATATGTTATTAATAACTCAGTGATTAACAATATTATCATGGCAGCAAATTTGAAGGCCCTTTTCTGACATAACATTCTTTGGTCAGCTATATGACGACAAGTTTTCTAGATGTGACACTTCAAAACTGATCATGTGAAAGAACAGAGCATCTTCTGCAAATGTGAAGCCATGCAAGCTTATATCCATTTGTCAAAAGCAAAGCTACTTTTGTCAATAGTTGTACGCTGACCTTCCATATATACTACATGGCTGGATAATAATGCATAGATTTTAAATCAACTTTCCTGGTAACATTTTGATCTTTTATTTTGGAATTCACGATTGTCGTTTTATCCATCGTAAGTTAAAATCGTTTGCAATGATTTACCCTAACCCGAATTAGAACCCCCAGGAATCATCGCGGAATACAAAGCAGTTCACGGAATATAGGGTGAGGTGCAGAATATTACATTTACATGTAGTTTTCATTCTGTCAGCTAGATGTTGCAATCAGAGAGACAGGATCTAAGACTATGTTTGCACTGCAGGGCACGATGGCCAGTTAGCTTTTTTTTTTTTTTTTTTTTTTGTTCAATCCGATCTTTTTATGACACATGAATTCTGTCCAATCTTTTTATATACTCGTTCACATTACAAAGATAAAGGTGAACAGAAAGCATCTGTGATGTGACATGCACGAGGCACGATGTCGAGTGATGCTAACAAAAGACGTCACGCAGCAGTGTTTACAGAAGTAGATTTGGTATAGCATCTAGGGGCTCATTTTATCTTCCCATATCTACAGAGGAAGGATGCGGGAGGAGGTAGAAATATTTGGGGGAATGAAGCTAGGCTTTTAAATCTCTTCATTTCATGGAGACGTCTATTAAAGATGACGTCATGCTGCGTGTTAGAAATTAATGATCTGCGTGGCTAAATTCCTATTAATTTATTATCACACTGTATGCAGAAAATCACCTTTCAAGCCGCGGCATCAAGAATTGCTCTCCGCAGAATCAGGATTGTTCTCTGCAGAATTAACACTTTCTCTCTGTACATTCCTGAAGGGACAGCCTAATTATTATGTAAAATAAATATTAGGAACTCACATCTAAACGCTTCGTTAAGTCATCCTTTGAAACATCAATTTTGTGACCAATTATTTATTTATTAACTTATTTATTCTGTATTTTCTTTCTGATCAATGTCTTCAAGGTACAACAGAGGAGGAAAAACAGGGCTTCCTTACGCCTCCTCTTCTTAAATTCTCCCGCAGCCTCTCAATGCCAGATACTTCCGAGGATATCCCTCCTCCCCCAGCCATTTCACCCCCCTCGCCACCAGCCTACAACTCACCAGCTGGTTCAACACCCAAGAGTTACACTACCACAAGACCCAGCTTCACCCAGAACTCACCTAACGCAGTAACGACTATTAGTAGAACCACAGATATTGGTACACTGAGGAGGGGCTATCACAGACAGAGTTCAGAGCATTTTGAGAGCCCACGCACCCGAGGGCGCACGCCGGTGCCCGAAAACCCTTACTCTGAGGTTGGCAATAAAAATTTGTATGTGCCAGCGAAACCAGCCCGAAGGAAGGGTATGCTAGTAAAACAGTCAAATGTCGAGGACAGTCCAGAAAAAACATGTCATATGCCAGCAAGCCCCTCGGGCCCAGTTTCCATGCCGACTACACCTGTTGAGCGAACATGCTCTTCCATCCCCATTCCTACCATCATTGTCAAGGAGCCATCCACCAGCAGCAGTGGCAAAAGCAGCCAGGGTAGCAGTATGGAGATTGAGCCCACCACTCCAGAACACCCATCTTTAATGCCAACTGTTGGTGGAAGTGGTGGTTTGCGCCCTGAAGATCCAATGTCTCTCGGCAATCCATTTGCGGCAGCTATTGCTGGGGCAGTACGGGACCGTGAGAAAAGGCTCGAGGCAAAAAAACACTCTATTGCCTTCCAGTCAATAGATATGGGGGATGATGACTCAATTGGTCCTACCCCAACCCCTCGCCTTAGGCAGTCAAAGTCTATCGATGAAGGTATGTTTGGTAGTGACGAGCGACTTAGAAGGATGATGGCTCCACCAGTCAACCTCGGACCTCCTGTCGGGGGCGGCAGTGGAAACATGACAGATTTCAACACTCCAGAGCCCACCGTTGTTCGGGAGCCTCTAAACACTAAAACAGGACAGTGTCCCAACTTGGACAGCCCTGTTAGTCTCCCAGCCACGCCCCCAAAGAGCCACTACCGGGCCAATGGAACATACCTTCACCCTGTCACCGGTAAACCTCTGGACCCAAATTCTCCTCTTGCTTTGGCACTCGCGGCTCGTGACCGAGCTATGAAGGAGCAACAAAATCATCATCAAAATCCTCCTCAGGTTCCGCAAACTCCCAAACATGAAGCTCAGTCCCTCCCCCTGCAGCCAAGCCACAAACCAGACCTCAACCAGCCACTCTTTATTGATACCAAGTTGCGGTCTGGGATTGAGACAAGTTTTGCTGCAATCTCCTCTGCCACCATGGGCCGCCCAGGGCGAGGTGGCTTGCGGAGGCAGATGACTGAGCAGAAATACGAGTCTGACCCGGCCCGGGAAGAACGACAACATCAGGCACTTGAGGAGAGGAAAAGTGCGCCAGCGGATGTGGCTGACACACCCAAGTCAGCAGGGCTGCTAATGGTTCACACCAGTACAGAGACAAGCAAGTTAAATAACCAAGAGTTGGAAGGGCAGGATAGCAACAGACCGTCTGAGCTGAAAGACCCCAATCAACCTGATCCCCGCAGTGGCCCGACATTGTCAATTAATCCCCAGCCCTCCTCAACGCGAAGACGTAGCATTCCATTAGGGGAATCCTTGGATGAACCTGTGAAGCTACCCTTCCGTATCCCCCCTCCTCCTCTTGCGTCAGTTGACGTTGACGAGGATTTTGACTTCACAGAGCCTCTCCCACCTCCCCTAGAGTTTGCAAACAGCATTGACATCCCCGATGACCAGGCTAGTGCCATTGCACAGATGCTTCAGCAACAGAGAAGGAATGGGGGGCCTCTGCTACCCCCATACAATGCCCATGCCCCTCCACTTGTCACTGACCAACATAAACGGGTGACGAACAGTATTCCCCCTTCATATCCTCCTCCCCCGCCAGACCCAGAGTCAGGGATCGGTGACTCCGGCATTGAAGAGGTAGACAGCCGCAGCAGTGGGGATCCTCAGCACATGGACACCACTAGCACCGTGTCGAGCATCTCCACCCTTTCGTCAGAGGGAGGCTTCTGTGACACCACTCTGGAGAGCCTTTATGCTACTGCAGATGGGCATTCCTTCCTAGTGGATAGACCCCCTGTACCACCCAAACCCAAAGGAAAATCAGTCATCAACAGAACCTCACTTTATCATGATGCTCTAATTGAAGAACCACCGGAATCTTATGGGTCACCACCTCAGGCTCCTCCTTCATCCTCTGAACCTCCTAGGACGCCTACTCAAAGGACATCAAAGCTGTGGGGTGATCAACCTCCTGAGCTTCATAGTCCTCCATCTACACCAGACAGCAAGAACATAGTTATCACAGAGTTGAGCTCCATTCTGCAACACATGAATCGCGATAGACCGCCCAAGTCAGGAGAAAGCCTCGACTCCCCCACAGGGAACCAAGGGGCCTTTGGAACAAGGTATAGAATGGCACACTTATTTCCTTTCTTTTAAACTGCTGTGGTGTTGCTGGTTAAACATACGGTATTTCTCATTTACTTTTTTTGTTCAGACAGTTTTTGCGCCAATGCTGTGATGCATATCTCAGAAATATTTGAAAGATAGTGGGTGTTGAGATTGGGCTACTTATTTGCAAATGCTAGAAGAGACACTCCCACCTATCATTTGTTTTTTGTTAGGATTCTCAGATTGGGAGCGCTTTCGGGTTGTTTTGGGGTTATGACCCGTGGTTATGAAGAATGCTTGCTGAAAACGGCTGCAGCTGCTAAGATGCTCTTGTTGATTTGAGTTAGTATTCGTAAATGTAGTTTTGCAATATTTAATTCATTTTGTTTGAAAGTTGCACGCACTACACCGCACTTTGCTATTTTAAATCTTATGCTTTACTCTCTTAGAATTTCTTTGGGTGTAGCAAACTGGTCGGGCCTGAATTGACGGCATAGTGGAAGAACAAAGGCAAATTTCCCCACCTGGGGAATATCAGGGAGGGATTAAAAATGTATGCCAGAGGTGGAGCAGCGAGATTTGCCCCCAGCTTCAAAGTAGTCCAATTTATCAGGACCAGCAGATTTTGAATGAATATCTTGTGTTGAGGGCTTTGTATACCGCTGTCAAGTTAAATTGATAGAAATGTAAAAGTCTGATTTAATGAAAGGTTGTCGTCAGACCAGACTGTTGTAAGAACGTCCTATGCCGGCTTGAGGCTTTATTGCCAGATAGGGATTTATTTTTTGCTTTTCTAGAGTTAAGAGCAGTCCTTTGAAGTTTGTGTCTCATTATTTCATTTGGCTTGTCTGACTTTTGGCCAATGCTCATTTCCCCCGCCCCTCTTTTTCATGAAAATGACAAGTGCAAACATGTTACTTGACGACGATCTCACCATGTTTTAGGAGAGACAGAATGAGTCAAAATCCAGTTTATAAAACTCAAAGATGTGGGACAACGGTTTTGTGGAAACAGTACCTGAACTACATCGGCTCATGTTTTTTTAACCTCACATCTCAGTATGTGGGAGGAAATAAAAAGCGGAATAAATAATTCAATGGTGTCATGCATTTTGCATGGACAGTCCATCGCTCATCAGAGAGGTGTAGAAAAAGCGTTGATTGCTTTGGGCACTTCTTTTTTTTCTGTTCCAATAAACAGAGTTAGATCAGAATGGTTGCGTCCATTTTTCTTAATTACACTGAGATGCCCAGCAGCTGCTTAAGTCCTGCCTTGCATCATTCCATTCACGCTTCATGCCACATGCGACCGTGTTATCCTCATTTCCATCATCAGTGCTTGGTCTGTTGACCTTACACTTTGCACTCATTTCATTTTCAGCTCATCTCCATTTTCTCCAGTTTCCTGTCGTTCCTTCATCTCTTCTTCCTTCATGTCCCCCAAGTCCACCCTCACAGGTAGGGTCCATCAGCTGTTGTCATGCCATATGAAGCTCTCAGCTTGGGTATTTGTTTTTAACATGGACCGAGGATATGTCACAATTTGATATGGCCATGTACAGTCGTACCCTGCCATCGTCAAGAAAAGATTTGAAAGACTGCAAAGTTGTCCGTAAATTTGGAGTGAGGAATGTGTCATAGACGAAAAAGAGCTTGCTTCACATTTGTTAGTTTACCTGCAGTGTTTCTTGAATTTTTCATTTATTTGTTTCATGCTTGTGAATATTCTGTTTTACTTGAAATGAAACGGTTGAAAATAAAATACAGTAGCCCCTTTTCCCAGTGTCGTCAGACCGCTTCCCGTTTGTCTCTTCCAGGAGTTATGTTGACCTCCGCTACCTGTGTTTGTTAATGTAAGATAAACTATTTAAATACAAAAGGTTATCTACAACCGCAGCAATTTGGTTCCAGCAGTTTCTCCAACAATAATGATTCAGTTGGGACCGAAATCAAAGGTAGACAGATCGAGGAAAACAGAGTGCTTCACCATTGTTAGTTGGAGGCAACTCCTGCAAGAGATGAAGTCGTTTCATTTAACCATGGAAAGGATCCATTATGAAGTGACAAATCGTCTGGCATACAGATGACTGAGCCTCTGTTAGGCTCCCCTTTTACTCGTGTGAAACGGTCCTGGAATAAGGTAATGAAACCCAAGTTGCACCTGATGCGGAATTGGTGTGTAAATCAAACACAAATTAACAAACCAAACTCCAGTCAGTGGGTTCACAGGCAGTCCCGTTGAGATTGGCTCCCCTTGTCATTTCTGAAAACGCAGTTGTACTTAACTTTTTTGATCATTATTTCTGTCACGTTGCGAGGTGGTGGTGGACCCCAAAAAGCAGGCAGGAGGGAGGAGCAGGGTGAACTTGACGAGTTGTATTGATAAAAAAAACAGAAAACTAAATCCTAAACAAACAAAGTTCTAAGAACACAAGTAATCCAAAGCACCAAACCAAAACCATGACTCTGGCAAAAAACTAACAGGAACAGAACCATGACAGGACAAACAATGACCCGACACCGAGTGGTCGTGGCGGGAGTCCTTTTAAAGCAATAATTACATAACGACCAACAGGTGTGCAGCTGCAGGGAGAGCCCTACAGTTCCACCTGTTGGTCACAAACACAATCATGACAATTTCTCATGAAAATCAATATCCAGTGCAATATACTGTCGGTGATCTGAATACACCTTTACGTACAGTATTTTAATGCATCATGATTCATGCTAGGATGACAAAAAAATGTTGTATGCTGAATTGCCAATATCAGATGTGGTAGTAAACACTAATGCCACTCTTCATGAAGATATATGCGTTGAATGGATCATGAATAATGCATCTAAATCCCCCCCCGCCCCCTCCTACCTCCCATTACTTTGCTGCCAATGTTTCTACTGCAATAACTCTGACAGTTTTCATCTTGTGGTGCTGGCTGGTGAACACGTTGCTTTATAGTTTGTCGTTCATTTATCTTAACGCCATGTTCATCATTTGTCAGTGGATTCAAAATGATTTGGTTCTCGAGGTTAGCAGTTCTTGTCTAAACTGAAGGTATTCTGTGGGTCACTGTGTGATGACTACTTAAATGGAGGCAAAGCCTGTTGAAATCAGATGGTTTTGGCCGGCGGTCCTGTCTCATTCAAATCTTCTTCTTCTTCTCCTTTCGGCACGTCCCTTTTCAGGGGTCGCCACAGCGAGTCATTAATTCCCATCCGTCCCTGCAAACCGCCCTATCAACTCGCATGTCCGTCTTGGCAAAAGTTTTACGCCGGATGCCCTTCCTGACGCAACCCTCCCCATTTCTCCGGGCTTGGGACCGGCACCGGGGAACAGTGTACCCCCAGGGGAGGGCACTGCTCCCCAGCGGCTGGGTTGGTCCTGTCTCATTCAAATGATCTCTCATATTTGAATACCAAAAATTAAAATGTCGGTTTTGCATAATATTGTATGTCCCCTTCTAGGCACAAACCATTGGAGTTGCCCCCACTGTCCTTATTGCTGTGGCATGTCCATAGCATATTATACCGGTCTCTAATTGCACAGTCTTATACAGCTCAAAATATTGTACCGTAGGTGTCGTTTGATGTGAGTATAGTTTGACGGAATGTTGTCTGATGTGATCGGAACAAGAAAGTCACTGTGAGGCCGGTCTGATGAACAGGTCGTATTCAGTCCTGAGCCCGAAAGCATCGCTGAACGTCCTGGTGGAGTCTACCAATTGTTTGTAATCCGATGTTTTTGTTTGTTGTTCTTAAACAATTGTGTGGTTGTGTCTCCGATGATCATCCTTCACACAAGGTATTTGACCAGATAGTGACAATGCCCTCGTGTTAAGTGATCTACGGAGGGGATAGGTGGGCCTGCCTTCCTGGCTACCAAACAGATGGCAACATACAAACAGAAGATGTCCTAGATTCACACATGGCCGGCCTCTCACTCTATTTTTTTTTTTACCCTGACTTACTTCATCTTCGGCTCACTTGCTATTGTGCACACTCTCCTGCCCTCATTCTTCTTCGTCACTGTACTGGAATGAACCTCGGTAGCAGTGCTAACATCCCCTTTTTCTGTTCCTTCGGATGCTGATAGGGATTTTTTTTCCCCCCTTTCTATCTTTTTTTATCCCTGTCTCTTAGCCTCCCAGATTAAATGTGCGTTGGTTGTGCCTGTGGACGAAATGGTTGCCAAGCAACCAGCTGATGAGAGCAGCCTTGAGGCCTGCGGTGATGTCAGCCTGAGTTGGAGGGACATGTTTGCACGTGTTAGTGAGTGCATGCGCGTGCGCATGCGTGCGTGCGTGTGTGAGCGAGAGGATGGCAAGCCTAACCCACAGCGGAGTTCAACATCATTTTATTCAGGTCACGTGCCACGCTGCTTTAGTAGACCACCATTACGTAACCGGGTACAGCTGAGGGTGTGCGTGCGTGCGTGCGTGCGTGCGTGCGTGCGTGCGTGAGTGAGTGAGTGAGTGAGTGAGTGAGTGAGAGAAAGCAAGAGCGAAAAGAGAGAGAGAGAGAGAGAGAGAGAAAGACAGAGAGAGAGAGAGAGAGAGAGAGAGAGAGAGAGAGAGCGCTCTGGCTTCTATAAATAAATGCAGCATGTGCATGTTCACCAATGAGTGTGACCCTTCATGTGTGAAGTGGATGTGCTAGAAAGAAGCAAGGAATCGTAAGATGTGTGGGTGTGTGGGCATGGTGCAAGGAGGTCTCCCACCACCTCACCGGCATCGATATAGCTGTGCATCACCGAAGGCCAGAACAGGACATACTCAAACTCTTTCTGCTCCCCCCCCCCCCCCCCCCCCCCCCCCCCCAGTTTTATGTTCACTGATGATACGGTCCACGTTTCTCTCAAATTGATGTGCTTTGCCTTTGCATAATCATGGAAAGTTGTGGCTAAATAACTGGACAGGGTGTTCATGTATGAACTAGTTTACGCATTGATGTAGCAATAAGTTGTCACGCGGAAAAAAGGGGCACCTTCAGTTCCTGCTGTGCTTACTGCTTTTCTTTCATTTTCTTCCGAATATCTGTTCTGAATATGACTTAACTCCTGCGTTAGAATGTAGTGTATTGACATTTGAGAGTATCTCACAAAAGTGAGTTCACATTTTGTCAATATTCTTTCATCTCCCCAGAGAATAACACTGAAGAAATGACGCTTTGCACTTTACACCGTAAAGCCGTCAATTGTACAGCTTGTATAACTGTACTGTACCCCTCAAAATAAATCAACACATGGGCAATGTCTAATCCACTGTCAACAAAAGCGGAGTACTCTTAAATGGAAAAAGTGTCAATATTTTGCTTCATAATTTTGTCGCTTCGGGTTAATAACCAACTTGATTTAAATGGTCTGAATTAGCCATTGTCTATTGACTGCAAATAATGTATTTTTGCTCATTTACCCATGCCAGCGGCACATAGCAATAGGCAGGAAAAAAAAGGAAAGCTATGCAGGGTTCGATGGTATTTAACCTGTGCATCCACTTCTGTGACATTTTTGTTTAGAATCTTGGCTCAATAAAGGTTGGGATACACCGCAATAAACAAAATGTCACACTAGACATCTTACATCGCTAGTCTGCAATTTGCAAAATAATGCCATCCACTCAGTGAAGGTCACCGTTCATTATTTGCCGTTATAAAGAGTGATTTTCTGTTGTGTAATTGTTGACTCACCCGCTGACTTGTCATGTGCACGGGCTCCAGACCTCAACCACTCATTGACTGACGGACGGTAAAATCCAAATGATGTTTTATTTCCATTTTAATGATTGAAAAAATTACAGTTGGCCCCCGAAGATGCATGTATTCTCAATTACTAATACAACTCTCATAGGTGGCTTTTTACCGGGTGTGGAAAGGGCTTTATTTTTTTTAAATTATGAATGTTCTTGTTATTGTCTCCACAGTGTATATAAATGGTTTAATCACCAGTTTAGAATTCACTCCAACTCTGGTTACATACTACCACGCAACCAATTAAGGTAAAAAGTCAAGAGCGTTTTACATCTACCAGCCCAGGCTGACCACAGACTATTTGTGGTTTCTTACCTTTAATGTGTTCAAATGGTCTGTCAAGTATGACAACTTATGTGAAAGGTAGTTAGCAGTATTTTTGTGCAGTACAACTGTGTGCAAGGGTCAAGTTTTCTTTGTTTTGCTATTTTGCTGAACTTTGCATAGGTATTTCTGGGGTGTAACGGGGCGTTTGTGCCTTTGTGGGATGGAAGTAGGCTTTTCCCGGCCAATCCTCCTTCACCAGTCTACCAAAATAGCGTCCTCGGAGCTTAATCAGACACCGGGGCAGGACTAACTTAATCTATTTGACATCGAGGCTTGCTGCCTGACTATACCAAACAATATTTGGAAAACAATGAATTCTAACATCTTCCAGAGGATCATGAGAGATGTTAGACAGTTAACTGATGTTTATTTACAACACAAGACAGCTTCTGTAAGGCTGTAGTGACACCAAAACACGAGCCCAACACGCGCTCGCTAGCTGTCTCTCACTCTCTCTGATTCCCACACTCACAAACAGAGTGATGCATTCACAAACTCAAGTGCATTTTAACTTGACCATCCCAGGCGGACCACAAACAGTCAGGTAAGCTGTAACATAATTATGGTTGCTCTAGTCCAGTGCTTCTCAATCTATTTCTATTACGCCCACCCTAACAAGAAGAAAACAATTCCTCCCCGCCCCCTCCTCTGCCGCCACTATAAATATCATTTGTCTATAAAATTGTTATATGTACACATCACCATTAAATTGTATCCTCATTATCATTAAAGAAAGAAATATAGTTCAACTTACAGCAAAGAAAACCTTATTAACATAGTTTTTTTTTAGTCTGTAACAGAAAAGATTTTAAGTGCATCAATTTGCCGGAAAAAAAAATAAATCCTTGTTTAAACTATAAATATTTTTGACCAACTTATTGCACCATTTCATTCTGAAAAGCAAATGAAATAATATCAATAAATAAAAAATTCAAATTCAGTTCAGCAACATTAACTCAGGAGCACAATATATAAAACACTTTAGTGTACAAAACAAAATTCTTGATTGGATTGGCACATACAGACAAACAACCATTCAAACGCATATTCATACCGACAGACAAATTGGAATCCCAAACCTCGAAGCCGTGAAACAGACATGCTACCCACTACTTCAGCGTGATGCCTGCTCATGATCATTTAATTTGATAAAACATTACAACCCCATTTACTGCAAGAACAATAACTTATTCTTTGGTTAATGTACTTCTAGTAGATGGTAGATGATACTTTTTTTTTTTTGAGGAAAAAGGCAAGTGAGGACTTATGAGGGAAGAATACAACAGGAGATCGACAGGTGGATCGGTGCTGGAATGAGGCGGATTTTGTATCGGTCCCTCGTGGTGAAGAAGGAGCTGAGCCAAAAGACGGGGCTCTCAATTTACCGGCTGATCTACGTTCCTACCCTCACCGATGGTGACGAGCTGTGGGTCGCAACTGAAAGAACAAGCTCCTGCATACAAGCAGCTGAGCTGAGTTTCCTCTGTGGGGTTTCCGGACTCTCTCTTAGAGATAGTGTGAGAAGCTTGGTCATCCGAGAGGGGCTCAGAGTCGAGCCGCTGCTCCTCCACGTTGAGAGGAGCCAGATGAGGCGGCTCAGGCAGCTGATGAGGATGCCTCCCAGACCCCTCCCTGGTCAGGTGTTCCGGGCAAGTTCCACCGGCAGGAAGTCTCCCGGCTGGCCTGAGAACGCCTCTGCATCCCCTCAGAAGCTAGTGAAGTGGCTGGGGACATCAAAGTCTTGGCTTCTCTGCAAAACTTGCTGCTCCCGCGAACTGACGTAAATGGATGGACGGACGGATGGATGGATGTTCTATGTATGTGTTATGTTTGGGCCCCAGAGAGATACCACATTTCTAGTTTGGGGCTTAGATTTATATTATTATTTATACTCTGTGTGTGTGTGTGTGTGTGTGTGTATATATATATATATATATATATATATATATATATATATATATATATATATATATATATATATATATATATATATATATATATATATATATATATATATATATATATATATATATATATATATATATATATATCTACTTCAAGGCAGCATTCCCCAAACTTTTTAGTGCCACAGACCATGTGAAGAAATAGTGTGAAGGTATAGAAACAGATTACAAATATCACTCACCATTAGCAACACTTGAACATGATGGTCTTATACCAGGGGTGCCCAAGCTTTTATGACCGAAGATCTACTTTTCGATCAACCAACCCCCCGTGATCAACCCATTACCGCGCATGCGCGCATATGCACGCACGTACATGCGCATGCCATGATGAGCAACAGCCTGACGCTGAGGCACACGACACACTTTTGCAGCCCGTTAACGATCGTAGCTCACGCGTCACGTTTTAAAATGCTTCTCTCGGCCCTCCAGATTCCCATTCTTTGCCCGTCCCCTCGGTGACTTGTACAAAACAAACTCTGAATGAGAATAATGATAACGATAAAAGATATAGCGCACCAACTCTGATCACAAGCTGCAACTGCAGACTGCTGTGCGCAAGCAACTTCCGGTGACGCAGTCACACGTCACCGTTAAAGGTTAAACCTGCTTTATTTTCTTTTCTTTTTAAAACGCTTTTTGTGAAAGTGAGACTGATAGAATCATTAGGGTGTATTGTGCATTAACACAAAAAAATATATTCCTAACATGCACAGAGACACAAATGTTTTTTTGGGTTTTTTTTTTCCTCTCCACCACACTTTTGCAGCCCATTAACGATCGTAGCTCACGCGTCACGTTTTAAAATGCTTCTCTCGGCCCTCCAGATTCCCATTCTTTGCCCGTCCCCTCGGTGACTTGTACAAAACAAACTCTGAATGAGAATAATGATAACGATAAAAGATATAGCGCACCAACTCTGATCACAAGCTGCAACTGCAGACTGCTGTGCGCAAGCAACTTCCGGTGACGCAGTCACACGTCACCGTTAAAGGTTAAACCTGCTTTATTTTCTTTTCTTTTTAAAACGCTTTTTGTGAAAGTGAGACTGATAGAATCATTAGGGTGCATTGTGCATTAACACAAAAAAATATATTCCTAACATGCACAGAGACACAAATGTTTTTTTGGGTTTTTTTTTTCCTCTCCACCTCCGATCGACTTGGGACCAGTCCTTGATCTACTGGTCGATCAAGATCGACGTAATGGGCGCCCCTGTCTTATACCATATTCCAAGTGCACTATTTTGAAAGTTGTCCTGAAATATCTACAATGTATCAAGTAAACCCTAGCATGCAGTTGTTGACCATGTATTATTTGACAAAATAATCTGGTGACGAACCGTCACTTTTCATCTCTGCCCTTATCCCGTTCCGTTCTGCCACTGATATGAAACTAATCTTAGGCTTGCGGCGATCAGGCTAGCCAAAGCTAGTGACATGAGGCTAAGACCGATTCGTGCTGCTTTGCGTTTCGTCCCTGGCGTGTGGCTCATGTTTTCTTTTTGCATCATGACAGAATCCTGTTTTCACCATGGTGTTGTTCCGGTGATAGAAGTCTTTTAATTTAAAGTGTGGAGCAGAAGTATGTCAGCAACAAAAATAATAATTCAGTGAATTTACCGATGGCACTTCCACCCATGGATGAAAATTTTCCTTGCAGTGTCTCATAGTTGAGGGACAAAATGCGACCATTTAGGGGCAGTCTGAGCCCTCTGTGGTTAATAATTCATGCTATTCATTTGTGTGAAGTTGTTTTATCACCAATGATTTAACAAGGTAGAAAACAAATAAAAAATAAAAGTCTGCAACATTTTATTGTTAGTATCACTCTCTCTAAAAGTATTTCTATTTATTTATTTTCACATTATCATTTCTACAGCATTCCGTGGAAATCACAATTTCCCATCAGGGCTGAGCTATTCCTAAAACAGGCCTACAGGCTATTCAAGCTGGTGTGCACGTGTATAACTGTGGTCAGTTAGAAATAATAATAAATGCTCTTACGATGCGAGGCCCTGGTCTCAATCAGGTCGTCACAGTGCATAGAGCCGATCAGCTTCACCAGATTAACACAAAAAAATATATTACTAACATGCACAGACACAAATGTTTTTTGGGTTTTTTTTTTCCTCTCCACTTCCGATCGACTTGGGACCAGTCCTTGATCTACTGGTCGATGAGGATAGACTTTTTCGTCCCTGGCGTGTGGCTCATGTTTTCTTTTTGCATCATGACAGAATCCTGTTTTCACCATGGTGTTGTTCCGGTGATAGAAGTCTTTTAATTTAAAGTGTGGAGCAGAAGTATGTCAGCAACAAAAATAATAATTCAGTGAATTTACCGATGGCACTTCCACCCATGGATGAAAATTTTCCTTGCAGTGTCTCATAGTTGAGGGACAAAATGCGACCATTTAGGGGCAGTCTGAGCCCTCTGTGGTTAATAATTCATGCTATTCATTTGTGTGAAGTTGTTTTATCACCAATGATTTAACAAGGTAGAAAACAAATAAAAAATAAAAGTCTGCAACATTTTATTGTTAGTATCACTCTCTCGAAAAGTATTTCTATTTATTTATTTTCACATTATCATTTCTACAGCATTCCGTGGAAATCACAATTTCCCATCAGGGCTGAGCTATTCCTAAAACAGGCCTACAGGATATTCAAGCTGGTGTGCACGTGTATAACTGTGGTCAGTTAGAAATAATAATAAATGCTCTTACGATGCGAGGCCCTGGTCTCAATCAGGTCGTCACAGTGCATAGAGCCGATCAGCTTCACCAGAGCCCGCCAATGACCACGGTCATGAGCCAGGTCCGCTGCGTCCTTCAGGATAAGCCCCTGGTGCTGGAGATCCTCCCTGATGACATCAAGCCATGTGGTGTGGGGTCTTCCGCGTGGCCTTTTCCAGCCGGCTGTAGCTGGGTCGAATGAAAATATGGCACGAGTGGGGTGTTCCTGGGGTAATCGGAAGAGATGTCCAAGCAAACGGATGCTCCTCTGGGTGGCCAGTCGAGATGTATAGCTGCAGCCGCAAGGCTGCGTCTGCGGTCGATCTCTGGCTTGAGATTGCCGTTGCTTGTAATGGTGGAGTCCAGGAAGATGACGGAATTGACGAATTGCACTTCGTCTGAGCCAAAAAACAGGGGGGAAGGTTGGGGTCCGTCAGCACTATACATACAGTAATTTTTGTTTTCTGCCAGTTTACTTGGAGGCCCAGCTTTGCTGCTTCTGTTTGATATATGGAGAGAGCACTACTGAGGTGTTGGAGTTGCTTAACAGGGTGGTGTCGTCAGCCTGTTCAAGGTCGGTCAGGTGGATGTTGCCAAATGACATGCCTGAGACTTGCTCCCGGACTCGGATCATGAGGTGGTCAATGACACAGTTAAAAAGATCAGGAGCGGCCACGCAGCCCTGTCTGACCCCGCTGTTAATGGGGAGTCACTCTGAGTCCTTCCAATTCACACGAACATAGCTCACAGAGTCGCTGGAACAATGTGGTTATTTTGGGTGGAACTCCGAGATACTTCACTATGTTCCAAAGGGACAGGTGGTCGACTGTGTCATATGCAGCTTTAAGATCTATGAAAGCTATAAAGAGATGTTGGTCCTTCCGGAACTCTCTGACCTTCTCAACAATGAGTCGAAGAGCAGAGATGTGGTTAAAAGTGGACTGGTTGTGCATGAAGCCAGCTTGTTGAGGTCAGTTATACATGTGCACGTTAGATGTTGACATTTTTTAGGGAATCCTGCAAGATTCCCATGCCATGGGAGTCAGAGTTGTTTTCACCGGGAGCAGGATGGGACAGGATTTTTATTTTTATGATGGTCCGGGACTGGGATGGGATAGGATTTGAGTTTTTTGGGGAGTGGAATGAGATGGGAGAGAAAATCCACTCACGTGTCACAATCTGGTCCACATAATATTTTTCATCTGTACTTCACATAGTAGTTGCAGTACTGAAGAAGCACATTGTGGGAGTGGGCAGCAAGACTGGTAATTAACTCAATAATTCCCTGCCTGACTCTACATATTTATTCCGATTGAGGAAGTTGAACCATTTGATATACCTGTAGAAAATGTGTCAACATTTTACTCTTAAGTTGCATCCTCGGGTTACGTGTGACCAGAGGTGGGACATCCATGTTATATGTGGGCATTCAATGTGGATTTAATCGCGATTGTCATATTGGGCACCCTTGCTCTAAATCATCCATAGATATGAGTGTGAAGTTTAACAACACACAACTCTGCCACTTCAAAGCAGTACAGATGAAATATTAATCCAGTACCATGACAAAAACGTTTTTAATAAAATACCTTTTATTCACTATCAGTGCTGATTGTTACATAAATACAGCCATGAAAAAAAAATTAAGAGACCACCTTGTTTTCTTCAATTTCGTGCTGAGTTTCATGTATGGTGCCACTAAGAGTGCATCAAGTGACAAACTGACACAAAAGGAAACATGCAATGCCTAATAGCACCGTTTTTGGCTTTACATTGATGTAAGAACTGAAGTGGTTTTGGTTATTATCAAGAAAGCCTTTTGGAAACTGTTTTGATCTTAAATTGGATTCATATCTGCTTTTGTTGTCATCAATAGAGTGGTCCAAACAAATTTACCTTTAGTTGCACTAGGCATTTAAAAGCACCAAGAAAACAAAGAAACACAGGTGGTCTTTTTTTTTTCCATGGCTGTTTCTATTAATA